GCGCTGGGGGGGGCGCGGGGAGCGCGGGGCGGGGGCGCGGGGCGGGGGCGGCCGGCGGAGCAGGTGCAGCTGCAGCTGCAGGAGGAGATGTGCGAGCTGGGCATCCGCCTCAAGGAGCTGGAGCTGGCGGCGCTCGTCGGGGACGGCTTCGACGCCAGGCAGTGTGCGTCCCGCCCGGGAGCGGCCAGCGCTGCTGGGATGACACCCCTTGCCAACCTTGCCAACCCCCAGCGCAGCCCGGCCACAAGGGAAGCAGGTCCCTCCATCAGTAAACCCCCTGAAAGGGTGGTCTGTGCCCCGCAGCAGCCCAGGGGACACGGCAGGGCTGGGCGAGCACAGGGGTGCAGGGAGCAAAAGCACTGCCCGAGGTCATCTCCCCCGGCTGAGGGCACAAATTAAGGGAGGCGTAAGAATTAGGGATGTAGTTACTGTTGCGCAAAGGCACAGACACCACCACCACCACCCACCTCCCCGAAGTGTTAACAAAAAACCAAAGCAGAATCAGAGGGAGTTTGTACGTGCAAAATGTGTCCGCTACTAATGAGACCCTGCGGTTGTAAATCACATCGGCGTGGAATAAACGCCACTGACGGCCACAGATAGTTGGAGGGCGGGGGGGACCCGAAACAAGCTAAACTTTGGCATTTTAATTTTATAACCCGCTGGCCGTGAAGGAAATGCAAGAAATAAAATAGTTCATCAGGTCGTGATACTTAAGAGTTCCAGCAGCGAGGCCAACAGCTGTAAGGATATGATGCTCGTCATTTCCTTCAAGGCCACGGGCTGCTGGTCAGGAAACCTTCAGCAGTGCAAAGGTTACAAGAACACAGAAAAAAATGTGCATCAGATATACACATTTGAAGGAAGATCTCAAAGACATTCCGATAGGTAGCTTGCATATATTTACTTTTCAGAACAGGAAATTAATATTTTTTTCCCCTTGTTATAGCAATACCTACCTTCTTCCATTTTAATACCTATTGTTTTGAGAAACTTTAGATTTCAGATATTTTCTAGACAAGTTATTGTAAGGAATATTATTAGTTTGCTTAATACATTATTTGATTTTCTCAAAAGTATTAATGACAAAATTAATGAGAAATTATGTTTTATTCCTGTTTAGATAAACTTCTGAAGGCACTGGAAGAAAAGAAGATACAAACCATGAAAGCACTGCAGAACCTGAAATAATAGCCACCAACACGCTGAGGATTATTTCAGCTGAATATTCTGCCACTATATCTCTATGGAGTATTTTAATGGACCTTCAATATTGGGTTTCTACTATTCTCACAGCAAATTAAAAAATATAGTATATTGTTGCATTATTTTTGTTTATTAATTGTCTAGTACTGATAACACTACTGTATATTTTACCTTTTTTTTTCTCCAGTCACAATATGCAGACAGGATGCATAATATTGTCTTCAAAACCACTGTGAAATTAACACTGCTGTTGTCAGGATTCCCAGCAGTCCATTGATGGTGTTCAAGATATGTGTGGCCAGGAAACGCAGTAACTGCAATACAAAACATGGTTGGGTTGTTTGGGTTTTTTTTCTCTTTTAGTTCTAAGTACATTAAGTGCAATTTTGAGTCAATAGGTACGGTCAAAAGTCTGCACCTCTAAGCCAGCTCTAAAAAACTACTTTCACGTTAGCATAAAAATCTTTTGTTACAATCACAGTCTTTAGTCTACCACAAAATTACAGAAGTTATGGCTTGAGTTAGTTTTTGACAGAATAGTCATATAACATTGATTTTCAACTAACATTTTACTATTGTTTTATGAATAACTGTGCTTAGGCTAAAGCAGTAGTTTTGAAGTGACAACATCCTTATGTTTGGAAGGCACATCCTTTCATGAGGAAAAATTAAAGATCTGGGGAACATTACCATTCAAAAGTGGTGCCATACATGGCATGGAGAATAACCTCACAAAGTGGTAAACGGGCTCATCAGACTGATAAAAAGATATCAATTACTTTTTCCTATTCTAGAGCAGTAGGTGGCAGCATGAAATAATGAAGTTACTGACCCTGAAGCTGTCATATTTTGGCAAACAGCTTTATTTTTAAGTCTAATATTTTAAACTGTGGTTTTCTAAACTGTGTTCAAGTTGCTCAACTGTGAACCATTTTAACACAATACGATATCAAAATTTTATTTCCTATTACTGCTTATTACAGGATTCACTCTTTTACTATCTCAGTCTTTCCAGCCAGATTCTGATCTACCGTACACAGAGTTTATATTAAAAAAAAAATCTTATTTATAACTCCTATTTCTCAATCATCAAACTATAACAATCACCTTTTATCAGAGCACTGGGAGATCTTAAACAGAATCTTACCCTCTGCACTGGCTGTTGCCAGCTGGTGTCCCTGCTGACATGGCAATCCATGGCTTCATCTGCTGGTCAATGGGCTTTTTAGTGAACCAAAGCTTGAGCAGGGTGGTGAGACCGGGCTCTGTCCAGTGGTCTGGTGTTCCTCAGGCAGGGCATGGAGAGACTCGGGATGGTGGAGGTGGAAGCCCAGGGGCAGGACTGGGGACAAGGCTTCTTGTAACGCAGGCCCAGGGAGGGTCTCACTCGGGGTTCCTGCAGCCTCAGGGTGAGCCCCAGGCCCTGGTAGCTGCCTGTACACTGGGTCAGGGTCAGTAGTGGCCACTGTGAGCTTCTGCACTCCATCATCCACTTCAATTCCAACACCCTTCCTCTTTAGCTGGCTGAAGCCAGGTCTTTAGGAACACCTTGGCACCATTTAATTGCTGCTTAGCTCTTTGGAGTCTAATTAATAACACCGTGCTCCTGGCTAAACAGTTCTGTTTTCACTAGTTTGCATATTTTAAGCTGTTTCACTCCAGACAGCACCATAAGTCACTTCCAAAGTGGGCTTCTTGAACGAGGTATTTTTACACCTGGTCAAGAAATGCTCACGGAACCACCCATGATTTATCTCTCTTTCCAGGCACTTCTTAGAGGCCGAGGCTGTAAATAAACAGAAGGTAAATCTATGTGCCTGAAGAACAAAACTATCACTGGAACACCTTGGAAATCTGGAATGAAGTGTTTCACTGCTCCCTCTGCAGAATGAGGATAAAAATTCTCCCAAAGAGTTTTGAGGCTAAACCTGAAATGGTTAATTACTGTGAAAATGCGAATGGTTAAACTGAAATACTTGATTACTATGAAAATGAGAATTGTGTCAGTGCCTAAACTGAGTACCAGAAAACAAACTTGGATTAAGCAAAAAGGGCCAAGACGGAGGCCTTCAAAGGCTTTGTGGAGAAGTAAGAGCTTTAAAATCAAATTATGTAGCAGAGAAACTATCTTCATTTTTCCAGATCTGCAGAATAATTTCATTCCTTAACCACTCTAAGTTTTCCAGGGTTATTGCAAAGCCCTACAAGAGTTTCCATTATGTGCAATCACTGCTTCCTAACTATTACTTCTCAGCTTTTACCAAGTCTTTCACTTTGGATCCAGCTCTCATCAGCCGTTATTCACTCGGGTTTTCTTGGCTTAAACAGAGCTGCTTTTCCCGACACACAGTTTAAATTTTTTTCCATCTGTTGTTCAGTTTTTCATATGGCCTTTATGTTAAAACAACACTTCATGTTTAATTACTGGGCGATAATGCAAGGAATAATGTCAGTTAATGTGTAAGCTCAATTAAAGTTGCCTGGGGACACACATCTACTGGAAAAAGTCATTTGGTTCATGTGCCAGAACAAGGCAGAATGGTCTCCCTTGGCCAGCATCACCCACCAACATTCTTCCAGCAGGATACTTTGGCCAAAGCCCTTTCACTGAAGCATCTCCACATTCCAAGATGATCGTTAAAGAATGGTGGAGAGGATCACTGGATGTGTGATGAAGTAATACCCTTCTGTGTATGTAAAGTAGCACCTACAAAAGGAACTTAAGAGACTGCAGGAGAAACATGGGACACATGATGTGATATTTCTGCCTGAAAGGAAACGCTGTTTGTACTCTCAGTTTGAACTAGCGACACACTCACATGCATGAATTTGGCAGGGGAGTAATAAGCTTGTCCATACCTGGACAAACAACCAGGTTATAAATACATAATGGCACATATGCTGATTTTTATTTGTCCCTAAACATTGTATTTACCTTTATTTTTCTTCTCTGTTTCCACCTGACCTTGTTATATCCAGTAATTTGCTCTCATCTCTGCGGGCTTATGGGTTCATCTGAAAGCTAATGTGTTTATAATTTCTTTTGTAACAATTAAGCATATATTAAACAGAATAGCATTCTTACTGCATTTTCTTTGATTCACAATGTTTGTGACATTCAATTTTTTAATCGTTTCTGTTCTCTCAGACTGCTCAGGCAAGGCTAAACCTGATATTTAGATGCTGGCATAGCTCAGACCTCTTTCATATAGCGGCCTTGTGACTCAACAAATCTATCCCCGGTGCATTCAAGAAAGAAACATTAGGCTACAAATTTGATTCATGGGCAGAGATCTCAAAACATCATCAGTAGGTTGCTCCCACTTCCAATTCTAAACAAAGAATACTTGTCCTGAAGCAGATTGTCACGTCTTTGCAGCCAACCCAAGGGCAGAGCAACGACAGCTGTCTTGCTGAAAGAGCTGTGTCTACACCTGCAGTGATATCCAGGTGCTCCCCAAGGAATGCCCTCAGGTCTTTCATTTCTGAAACCTGGAATGGCCTTGGCTGCTTTATGGTGGGAAAAATTAGATACAAAGCCATTTGGAAAAAAAGAATGCATTTAAACTTTAAAGTATTTTATACCGAACAGTTGGGTCCATTAAATTTCAGACTGTTATATTTAAGAGCTTGCAACATTAAAATTCTCCAAATAGATACTCAGCCTTATTACAATGGATCATTAGAATTTAAATTAATCTTCAAAGCTGCATTAATTAGCTCAGGGACAGATTACAAAGGAAATCCAAAAGCAGTAAGCTATCACAAAATGATTTTTCTGTTTTCAGCAGTGTATGGTGCACGATAAGATTCACCTGTCCTGAAAATTCAGAGCAAAGATCTCAACATAAAGCAGGGAAATCAAGAGCAGCACTTAACTCTAGGAAACGTGTCCTCTTTTGTTTGTTTGGGAGGTGATGTTTCTTAAGGTCACTGACATCTAGATGCTGGATGAAAAAGTTGCCAATCAGGAAGCAGTCCATAAGTGGTGCATTTGGCTTTTCTAAGAAAACATAATTATTAATAACACAAGTCTCTTGTTTAATGTTACACACTAAAAACATACATTTTCGAAATAGGCTGAGATTTTGGTGTATCTTGAGAAAAGCCAGAACAGCCTCTTGAGGCAATTTAAGCCCTCACAGTCAGAGCATATATATATATGTATATAAAAATATAAACTGTATTTTAAGTATACCATCTGTCCAGAACCTTAGTATTGATACATACACTAGGAAGTTCATTTATCCTGTATTTTGGGAAGATCCTTTCTTGCCCTTTTTAAGTCTAAAACTACAAAGAGAGGCTTTGTACTAAAACGAACTTTTTAGTCCAAATTTCTTACATCACAAATTGCACAAAAGCAGTATTATCAAAAGTACATACCTTCATTTTCCTTTTCCTTCAGTATGACAGCATGAAACTTGGGCCTGAATAAATGCTGTTAAAAACCACAATAAGTGACTGAATAATAGGGGAATGTATAGAGGACATTAAGGTGAGAACAAAAAATCACAAAGGAAACACAGAATCACAAGATGTCCTCAAAATTCACAGTCTTGCTGGTTACTGCACTGCTCACCTCTGTGTAAGGTAGGAAAACACCTTTCTTCAGAGGGAATGCCACTGCTGAAATACATGGTTTAGACTTGTGTAGTTCTTAAAACTCCTTTCCTGTCCTTTGCCAGGTTCTGCCTTGAGACCACGAGCAAGGGGACCCCTAAGCATCCCAGGAGCCTGGAAGCTCCAAGTAAAAAAAAGGCTCATGCTGATCAGAGCTTTAAAGCACTGATCTAAAGAAAAGGACGCAGCAGGAACAACCAAAAAGTAGCAACACAGATTTTGAGACATATTTTATTTAATGTGCAAAACTGCCAAGAAAAACACATGTACAACTTTAACTAAGCTATAGCCACTAACATGAAAGAAACTATTCTATGTACTTGTAAGCTTCATCTCTAGAATCACCCTATGGCTCAGAGTAAAAACACAGTCATTTGGTAATGACCCAGAACATTTTAAATGCCTCCTTTTCAGTCATATATAAAATTCTACCATTGTTATGGTTCTACATTTGTAATTGCAAAAGGAACCAGTTCTTGGAGATTTCCCTTCTGAT